CCAACAACTTAGGTTCATCTATGTGTCTGACAATTTTAGTCTTTACTATAGTTTCAACTAATTTGCCTGGTACTGACATTACACTTGCCAGGACCACCTTTGATCATCTCTAGAGCCCCTTTTAAATATTGGTGTTAAATTAGCTATCTTCCAGTCACTGGGTACAGATGCCGATTTAAAGGATAGGTTACAAACCACAGTTAATAGTTCTGCAATTTCCCATTTAAGTTCTTTCAGCACTCTTGGGCCAATGCCATCTGATCCCCCTGACTTGTTACTGTTCAGTTTATCAATTTGTTCCCAAGCCTCCTCTAATGACACCTCAATCTGGGACAGTTTGCAATTCCTCAGATTTGCTACCTAAAAAGAATGGCTCAGGTTTGGGAATCTCCCCAATATGCTCAGTGGTGAAGAGTAAAGCAAAGAAATCATTTAGCTCCCAAAGGGGAAGGGAGATAACTGGCTCCTATATAAGTAAAAGCCCCAACTATTGAGACTTTCCCCCATAAAATCAGGACATCTGGTCACCTTAGCCAGTCACCCCTTGGCCAGAAGTGATTTCCATCATATCCAGGGGTGGCGCCCAGCACCAATGTTCCTGCTAACTTTTTCCACCCAGGTGCAGAATAAGTTTTGTTCTGTGCACCACCAGTAGAGATGCACGCTGTTGGTAGTGGCTGTGGGCTTTTGCTCCCCAGCAGGACCCATTTGTATCTCTCGTGGGTTCGACCTCCTTACTCTGTGCCGCGTGTAGCGGCGGGCATGGAGTTCGGACTAAGGTGGATTTAAAAATGGCGGCACCTGGGAATATGCAAATGAAGCCCGGGATATTTAAATCCCCGGCTTCATTTGCAACTCCGGTTGACCTAATCTGCCTACCTAGCTTGAACTACCGAGCTAGTGTAGACATACCCTAAGAGAGTATAAATGCACATTTATTGTCCAGTGGCCCCACTGGTTGTTTAGCTAGCTTCCTGCTTTTGATGTACTTAAAAAACATTTTGCTATTACTTTTTGAGTTTTTGACTAGCTATTCTTCAAACTCCTTTTTTACTTTTCTTATTATATTTTTACACTTAATTTGATAGTTTATGCTCCTTTCTATTTTCCTCACTAGGATTTAACTTCCACTTTTTAAACATTGCCCTTTTATCTCTCTCTCACTGCTTCTTTTACTTGATTGTTAAGCCATGGTGGCACTTTTTTTGTTTTCTTACTGTATTTTTTACTTTGGGGTATGCATTTAAATTGAGTCTCTAATGTGGTGTCTTTGGGTATGTTTACACTACAGCGTTATTTCGAAATATCTTATTTCAAAATAGTTATTTCAAAATAACCCATCTAGACATAAAATGCATTTCGAAATAGAGTTTGCTATTTCAAAATAGCGTGTCCACACTGACTGGACGCTGAATCGCATTTAAGGCCGGCCAGAACCAGTTCTGGCAGGGCATCAGGTCAAGAGTTACCTTGTGTGGCTGCTGCCTGAGGCTATCTGAGGCCCCCCCCCCCCCCAAACAGCCAGTTCTCTGGTTTCCCTGCTTGCTTGCCTACCTCCCTGAGGGACAGCAAAGCATTTTTTTTGTCTGAGTGCTCTGACTTGGGACACCACAGCACTCTGCAGCATGGAGCCGGAGCTCCCCCTGGGCACTCTGGTGCTTCTTTTGGATGTGTTTCTGCAAGCCTGGCAGCACTTTCTGGAGGCTGCCTCGCAGCATCTGCTGCAGCCCAACCCCCAGGCCGTCATCCGGACCCTCCTGGGGTATGTGGAGGAGCAGCTGCAGCTTCTGGACGCCAGTGTGCCCTGCCACATCTGGCATCTGGACACCAGCAGCGACTGGTGGGACCGGATCATCCTGGAGCGCTGGGACAACCGACAGTGGACCCCA